CGAAACGTGTCGCGCTTTTTATCGATCACACACCATCGCGACCGATGCAGCGTTTCCACGCGGTTTGTCGCTCCGTCTAGCGATCTACGCGCGCGCGCATATGTATGATCCGTCGTAAAAAGGGTATCTAGGAAATATCAATGCGTTTTAACGAACGCTCCTTCGAACGTATCGAGCTGTCGGATAAGTCTCGAGTCTCCTGAATTTCCTAGCTCGCGTTTCTTCTCGAAAACACGAGAAATTCTACGATAATAACATTGACAGAAGATCAAACAGAATGATGGTATAAACACATTTGCTTTCGTCGCATCGCTGAAAGACGATGGAGCAAAGTCTACTGGTATCTGGAAAAAGTTTAAGACCGATAACTCGATATAGATACGGTTGCGTGCGATGTAATATCGCGATACTTGGCTCTAGCAATAGCAGCGACGAGCAGGTGAATCTCGATACAAAGGCCGTTCGAAGATTTTCAACTAGATATCAACACTATTATAAATCACTTTGAACGTGATTCGATACTTGGCGTATATTATCGGTTTTATGTACGCGTGTATTCTGGATTTATTAGGGACGAGGAATGGAAACGCGTGGCACGCGTGACGTTCGAAAACTGATGGACCAAAGAATCACGACTAAGCGGGTACACGCGTTTTTTCGCTCGAGTCGTGCACCGCGTGATCAGCTCGAGACAAACTGTATTTTTGTATTTGTATCGATGTATTTTTCTAAGTGTAATTTTCGTACGGCTTGTAGCAGCTTTTTCGAATTTTCAAACAGCGAGTTATTTTTATAAGCTTCGATCGTACGATCGTTTTACGACTAGACGGATACGTTTTTATAGTTGGTAAGTTTTGCGAGGTGATAGTTGATCGAGGTTGGTTATCGCGACGATTTCAGCCGATTTTTGATTGCCAATGCAATTGAGCCGTTCCCGTTAGAAAGGGGTTCGTTCGAACGGAGACACCGTTAAAAGGAGCCGTGTCTTTTTTTCTTCGGCATCGAGGATGCTTCGACTTAAAGTGGTTACGTACGCACAGCCTATAAATATTCTTTAGCTGGACGTTGGGTTCTCGCGTTACAGCAGGACCACTGATTGAGCTAGCGGCGCTAGATCGGTTAAAACTTTAAATACCGGTATGCACGATCGCGCTTCTATCCGCCGACTATCGACTTCGACGTTTGCTGTCGTAAGGAATTTTTTAAAGAATGATCGGACATCTTCGTTGTCGTTACGTTCCGTAAAGTGTAAATCTCGATCATTTTCGTATACATTTGCGTATATATGGTGTATCATCTCTGAATAAGGAAAGTTTGCCGCATGAGTCACAGGAATTCTACGTACACGTTTAGCGATTACATAATATTCATCGAACATCGAGTTTGCAAGAGAAATTACAACGCAACCAGATGGTAATTAACGAAAAAGTACAAACGATTCGTATTGTAAATATCTTTGCCGATATTTTTTCCAGCGAATTGCCGATAAATCTGGAATCGCGAACGTCTAAGGATTTCGTCACTCGAACGGATTATCGCATAAAGTAGCTATGGGTTTTGATATTTGGACGTAAACAGGCGTGCTTACATTTACATCTGGTTAGTTTGACTTCGAGCGGTAAAGGCTGATTTCATGCCGATTTTGCAGATAAAAGAACAGTCACGTTCCTTCGTCTCTGACCATTTTAGTTCATCGCTGCGAATTACCATCCGAACGTCCGTCTAGACAGGCAGGCTCGTCTCTGTCTGTCCGTCCGTCTCTCTCTCTCTCGCTCGCTCTGTATAGTCTTTAATCCGAGCGTGCGCCTCTCCTTTTCCAAAGGATTTTGTTAAAAGATCCGTCGAACAAGGGCCATTGGCAATTTTAATATCTGCCAGGATATCGATCACGGTCGAGTCACGTTATTTTATCCATATTTATTCCTTAATTCTTTTTATCCTTCGTAATCTGTCTTTTTGTCGTATTTTTGAAGTTTAATTCGAGTTTAGCCGCAATCGAAAGATTTGATTCGTACTTTGGTGGAAAGTCGACGTATATGAATTTCGCGATACGATCCTTTCATCGACCGTGAAAGAAATTTCTCGCACGACCAAATAATTCGAATCACGACCGAGAAGAGTAATTTTTTTACGTCCGTTTATCGAATAAATAATTCTTAATTCGGTAAAACGCGCGTCGCTGGTCTGACAGAGGGAAAAGCTCTCGCGTGTTTCTCGTTTTCGCCAAAAATTCCACCTTCTTAAGACGATTCTTCGTGGGTCTTTCTTTCAAGCACGATCGTTTTACTGCCGCTTTTTTCTATAGTTCGCGTTCGTAGCAAGTTGTGGCTTGTGTTAGAAGATTCGCTCGATGTACAGCGATCATCCGCGTGTATCCGTTAAGAGCTGGTTTCGTTTATGCGATATCCAGGATAAAAACACGATCGTCCGTTTCGTCTTATTTAACGAACGACTTTTGGCTGGTAATTCCATTTCGATAAAATTTATTGCCACGTTTCAGCACTAAACTCGACTGTCTGTAAACGCGGCAACGGTTCGGAGGAGAGGGAACCGTTGTTCGGTAAATTTGCTAATAGATGAATCGCGTCACTGAATATCAATTTCGGAGACAAGAAATTAGCGAAGATCGCTATTTTTAGGTCAAGGATCTGCCATTCGATTCGTTCGTGCTCCACTTTTATTCGATTTTTATCCAACGCTGTTTTTCCTCTTTGCTGCCCGTTTTCTATCGCCCAATCTCTTTTTAAATATCCTTCTTATTTTTACGTTTTATATTCTTTTCGCTCGTGGAAGAAGCGTTTCTTTCGCTGGTTTCGCGACGTTAATTGTCGAACTTTTTAATAGGACGTTACTTCGACAAATTTTACAGTCCATTTCCAGTTTCCTGAAAAATCTCGAAAGATCGCATATGGTAATTTTCTTGCAAGGAAAAGAAACGAAAGATAAAAGTTCGAAATAAGTTGACGCAGATACGAGAAGAAGATAGAATGCAAAATACGGGAAGATTTAACCTGTCGAATGCGTCAACCTTGTTACGCAAGAGCAGACTTCCTGTCCCTGTCTACAGAGATTTATCGCACGAAGTAGGCCATTCGACAAAGGCCAACGACGAGCGATCAAAAATATATACTAAAAACTGCGAACTACGTTGACAGCGTATCTAAAACCTTGCATCCTCGCAACCTGGCTCGATATCACATTTTTAAGTTATTCGTTCGTCGTAATATGCTCAGTATCAAACTCTCTGTAGATAGCGAAATACGACGGAGATCTTGCGCGAACGAGTTCTCGAACGTATTCGGGTATTTTAGAAAAGAAAAGGAGAAGAGACCGTTTTCACCGGTCGATAGTCGGACAGTAAGTGTAAGAAAACCTTGTTCGGTAGAGATCGTGTAGTCGCGTTGCGAGACACGTTTTAGCGTGTTATTCGACGAAGGCAGCGTTGCAAGCGCGCACCGAGTGCAAGGTATATCGCCGGTGCTTTCTTGCTTCTTGTTCTCATGATACGTACACGCCGTCTTTAAGCCCGGAATAGATTTAGGAAGCGTCGAGCTATGCGACGAAGCTTTGCCAAGTCTCTTGGTACATGAATGAGTTAGTTGCATGTGCGTACACGTGCTGCGCTAATTTATAGCATCGCGACGAATGGAGCGGCGGCCCTCC